TGATATTATTGGTGTTGAGAAAGGGCATCATGAGGACGTCCATGCTTGAGACACCGGAGGGTAGGCTTATCGCTGAGTTTGAAATGTTTCGCGTTTTTAGCATTGTTTAGTTGGTTAAAAAAGTTTATCATGAGATTATGTATTATGAAGGTTTTAATTGTTGGTAGTTTAAAGTTGGTATGAAGTGCTTCGTTTCTAATGAACCCTGGTGCGTTGGAAATTATACGTAAAATCTTGGATTGGAAAACTTGAATCTTATTTATATGAGTTTTGGCACAGTTTCCCCAGATAGGGGCAGCATAGAGAACTAATGGTCGTAGAATTTGCTTGTAAAGAAGCATGGAKAAATTCCAGCTTAASSCGGTTTGAATGGTTTGACGGTTGATTAAGGCGTAGAGAAAAGTTGTTAGTAGCCTTGTTGTAGTTTTGAAGAAATGTGTGAGTTCCAAGTGTTATGCATCATTAAATGTATGTTAATTTGAGTTGTTGTATATCATCAACCAGTTGTAGATCTAAAATTAGAGGGGCCAAATTTTTTCATAAAAAATACAATTATAATTTTAGTACCTTTAGTCTTAACATAATAAATTAAGGAAAATTATAGATGTAAATAATGTAATTTCATTGTTCCCTAATATGGCCGATGTCGCCGAGGGCTTATTCTTAATAAAAAAAAAAAAAAAATAATTTAAGGATAACGTTATAGATTACAATAACACAAATTTTATTTATATAAGAGTACCTACTTAGTTTTTGATTTTAAAATTATTCGAAATATTTATTATATACATATAACAATACATAATATATCATATTCCCAAATGCGTGGATGGGGTACTAAACTGGATTTACGCCTGTAATCAGTTAAAATACTATACAATGTACATGAACATGGACACGATACCGTATTACATATATATAATATATAATATAATATAATAATATAATAATATATAATATATATTTACATTTAATATTATTTTTGTTACTATATAATATATATATATACACTAATACACTAATATTCCATTCTGTTTATTCTTATCTGACATCATTATCYTATTTATCATTATATCATATGCTCATTATTATTAATTACCAATTATTACTTATTGTATCACTGTATCTATCAATATTGTAATTGTTGAACTATAATAGTTATTCTGAAAGTTCTTAATAAATAAAAAAAAAAAACCATACTATATAATATTATATATATATAATGAAAGTAATTATAGTCGTTCAAATTCAACTCACTTAACAACATAAATATTATTTAGGTACTTGTCATAAAACCATTTTGCTTCTTTTCTTATTTTTTTAATTAACTTTTTTGTACCTACCTATACCGATCTATATTTGACCATCATTTATAAAAAAATGATRAAACAAAAATTAGGTGTTAATATTTCTATTTMTATTTACTAAGGTATTATCATTTTATATAAACGTATGTGGTATGTGTGTTATTTGCATTAATTATTTAAATTGTAGATTATATTATATTTTAAATTATTGTATAGAGATCCTCCCGTTAATAAAGATAAATAAAAATAAAATTCTCATATTTTCAAAAACTATAAAAAATAATATTTTTTATTTTCAAATGAACATTACCTATAAAAGTGATCATATTAACATAAAGTGTGATATTGTAGGTGGTAAAGATTTTATTCTCTAAAGCACGTTTCGATTTTATAAAGCATTCATTTACAATACTGAGAATCGCTGATTTCATAAAAACAATTGAGTGTATCAATTATTCTTATTTGACGTATTTAATGTCTTTAATTATAATATGATATTGTTTCATCACAATAAATGTTTAATTTAATTATTGATTATTATGTTGCCTTACAGCCAGTATATTTTATCGCTAGCGTTTAGATGTTTTTACAATTTAATAAAATGTTAGTTTTAATCTACATTGAAATTGATAATATTAATCACTGTTTACATTACCTATTGTGTAAACTCGTAATTTAGGTACTCCTAGGAATCATAAAAAAGCTTGTATAGAGTGTGCTTATCCTTATAAATTTATTTTTGTTTACTTTAAGATGTCTCCTATTCATATAGTCGCATAGGTCACAAATTTACTGTACTTCATAATACTATATATCTATTTATATTGTTTAGAATTTACTCGTTAATTGCTAATATTATCTATTTACTTCCATCTTATATGATAATACATTATAGCAATGAACCGTTTATAATATATAAAATACATTTTGTCAATTTGTTTGTTTGTATTTATAGATAACGGCGATAAAGTGTTTTTTTCATTGATAACGAAAATCCCACCCAGGTAAAAATAATATAGTTTTAATAGCCCCACTGCGATATTTTCAAAGTAGAGTCTGAAAGCTCAGTCGATTAAAAAAGTCTGTTCAGTTGGTAACGTTAAAACCGTGGTGGTAAAATCRTTCGGACCCTATGGCGAAAATACCGTAGCGTGGCCAGGCTTTAAAATAATCTTAAAAGATTACGGTATCTAAGTGTTCTCATTGATATTATTTTCAAATCAATCTAATCATTTATATTACAGAGGTTCGGAAATCGCCGAGACAGGAATGACCACAAATGGACGATCGATCACATTTGGAAAAATGATATGAATAATAATATTATTAATATTGCAATTATTTATTAGATGGTATCTGGAATCCGGTCAGTGGTATCATTAAAGTGACTTTAGGTGACTCGACGACGATGTTCGTAGTGAATATTCATCTATATAATATATATAATATATATACATACATATACAATATACATAGGCCCTAAATCATAATATCGTATATTTATATATATATGTAATTATCATTCCGTATTCGTGTCGAAAATTTGAAATAATCATATAATATACTCATCCCTTTGCTCAAACTTATTGAATTCACTAAAAACACTATAACACACATAGTAAATGTGTGCACACTACTACACTATAGTGTTATTATTATTGTTATTATTCTATAATATTATGCTCTATTCGAGTTGAGTTCACCAACTTTTGCGCATGCCCATTAAGTATCTACCAATGTGCAATGGCGAGTACCATCATGAAAACAACGTGATACTACTGAGCTCAGTGCTCACTAGTACGCTTGCGTACACCCCGTAATGCAGACATGATACGTTCTACAACAGCGCTCGCTGTCAATTACAAATTACTATATTTTTTYAGGGTGGTTGTATGATGACTGGTGTTTTGTCAGTATAGTGGGTGATTGACTTGAGTAGAGTATACTATAGTAGTAGCAAGTAGATAATATATGTATACACTAAATTCTATATAGTATCTGTATTATCTTACGATTTTTTTTGTTTGTTTTGTGTATTTTTATTTAGTTCCTGTGTCTTTTTTTTTAATACCTTTATGAACCACATACCTGATGCTATATTTTATTGTTAATTACACAATGTTGATATATAATTCTTCAAACACTTGTTTACATTTCCCCTATCATTACGATAATTATGAATAAGTACAAATGTACAATAATGTATGAATGTATTATACATAATATTATACTTCTTTTATAATTTTATTGTAAAAATATACTTGTTTTAAACTATTATTAACCGTTAGGGAATATATAAAATATTTGTATAATTTCAACTGGATTTGAGACAAAAATTATTTCATGTTATTATACCTGTTTGATTATATTATAGACTATTGTCGATTGTATACATTTGACTTTTCATATAATTTCTAAGCGACGTATTTAAAAAAATAATAGAAACGATATCATCAAAACACAAAAACGCTGTAAAATAGAAAGGGATAAAGGACAAAAAAAAAAACAATGGAAAATTATCATAGAAGAGCTCAAATGCTCTCAAAAGCCGTCCTGTAATATCAATTGAAAACATTTGTTTTTTTCGATTTAGCAACGGAGAATTACGTATTGGAAWTTTTTTTATAAATATAGATAAAACATTAAGAAGGTTCATTTTATGTACGATCAAATTAATCGAATAATATATATATATATATACAAGATACATAAAATAATAATAATATTTAAATTTTCAGAATAGAATATATTACAAAAATATCTGCATTTTATTATGTTGAGTACTTAAAGAAATCTAGACAATAACATCAACAATAAATGGGTAATATGCTAATATATCTGATTTAATTATGCAAAACGTTTAATCTATTAATTTAAAAACGAGAAGGAAATTAAAACGACGTAAAGGTAATGGTTTTGATGGTGTTCATTAAAAGGTTCACTGAACATAACTCAGTACGTAACTGTAATTTTTAATTTATAATAATAATTTTAAAATATTTATATTATATTGGTTCTTTCATAGAATGTATAAATGCTTAAGTGCTTTATACTTGAATTCATTGTTTTAAGAATGTTTAAAAAAAAACAATAATACAATAGATATACTTACGCTTACTCAAGGACGAAAATCTTTGTACAGTTAAGTGTTGAAAAGTAAGTGCTTAGATATAAGTTTTAAAAGGATTAAAGTTATTTTTTGTTTGATGATAATGTTTTTAGTTGGTAGAAATATGTTATTGGACATTTAAAAGTAAATTAAGTATAGTTGTTTAGTATTAAAAGTATCATTTACAACTTAATATTGCAAAACATTACTGAATAGATGATGAGTAAAAATCAAAACACATTMAAAATGCATATGTATTTGTATATTATATTATATTATATGTGTGTGTGTAATTTAAATAACATCAAGAATACTTAATAAACATAAATAAATAGCGAGCCATCAAAAATAGTTGATGTAACAGATAAAATAGAAATATAAAATAACGTTGAAAAAACAATCAAAAAGGAACATTATCCTAATCATTAATATAATATAATTATATATATATATACAAGACATGTTTTTAGTTTCATAACTCGACAGTTTTCTAATACATTTACACAAAGTAATCTTTATTAAATTATTAGATTATTAGATAATCATATTAATGAATGTATATCAATAATAACTATTTCATAATTCGGTTAACCAATTCCATGATTATGCAGAACAATCGCGTTACGAACGATAAATTAAAATAAATATGAGTTGTATTATAATGATTTATAATTATGATAATATATTAAGTTAAAAATAAATMGCCATATAATTGGTAACGACTGTCGATTACTAATTGTATTTTTGGTAATATTATCACTACTTCTAATTACTACTACTACTACTAACAATAATAATCGTCAATGACGACGCCGAATAAGCGCCAGTGTACGATGTGCCGGCGGTCAACTAGGTACAGTTTCTGTTGATCATGATGTTTGCCAGGGCATTTCGTCTCTTTCTCCAGCACCCGAGTGTCTGACAATGATATTGTAGCTGCCTGTACCACATTTTCGTCTGCTCGCCGTCCTGGCCCTAAACAAACAATAATAATTATCTTTGGTTTATTATCGCGGTGTATTTAATCAAGTTCAGAGGGCTCTTACAGTTTTGCCGAACGATAAAATATAATAATGTAATTGGCGCGGTTCCGCGTTAATTTCACGCTGAAACTATTTAGCACGCCATTCACGGAAACGCGTCAACTTAATTATTCTACCGACAACATCAATGAACAAAAAAAATTACAACAACGAATTTCTTAGAAAATAAACCAGTGCGCCTCAAACGGATCCCAAGTTCATTGCTTTTTCAACGGGAGCCGTTTGCAGTGAAAAATCAAATAATGGACTTTGGATCCGTTTGAGGCTCCGGTTGAAAAAGGTTTCACCTCAATGTATGATTTTTATGTTTAAATTTTTTCATACTCTGTAATGTTAAAATATAAACAAACACATTTTGTAATACGAAATATTTTATTAATTTTTAATTCACAATATCAAATATTAAATATATGGTTTTTATATATTTTTTTGTAATTCACAGAGAATTTAAATTTAGGAAAAAAAACACATTTTTAATCACACCTTTTTTGAGACAGTTCAAAGTCTGTAAGAAGTGGAAAGTAATTTGTGTTGTAAAAAATCTGAGCCATTTGGGAATTAACCTTTTTGTAAAATGGTAGTTGTTTAGGAAAACGAGAGCTGAATTATTTGGACATAAAAAGATTGTTTTTTTTTTTTGGCCGATCAATGACCCACACACACATTACCYGGCAATCAACTGCGTGAGAGCCTTGGATTTTACTATTTTCAATATCAGGAAATTGAAAAATGCATATTTAAATCACTGCGTCATGGCCTCGTGACTTGGGGGCTCCAATCTAATAGATTTTTAAAAATTTTAATAATTGAAGTCCGGTTTATTCAACACACCATAGCAATCGAATGGGTAAGTTCTTGTACTTATTCTATGTACATAAGTTAAGTGTAAACGAATACCTGTTTTTAAAAGTTAAAAGTTAATATTTAAAAACCAAACTTCGATAGACAATATAAATTGTCTGTTGGTTGAAGAAGACATCATTCAATTACTAAGATGAAACTATATTATATATAAGTATTTTATCCAGCAATAAATTAAAAAAAAAAAAATTAAATCTGATTTTTAAAAATTTTAAATATACTTTAGATTATATTTTCAAATTCCTTAGACTTCTGTGAAAATGATGAAATAATGAATTCATTATAAAAGGAAAAAAGGGGTAAGCATGCTTGGTGAATTACTTTGTATATAATTTATTTAATTCAAAATAAAATAATCTCATTGAAATAGTTTGAATGTCAGTTAAATTCTTTTTTTAAGTGTAAGTTCGACCGATAACAGCAGAGTTCAGGAAACATTTCAAATGTATTATATACATAGATATTGACGAGCATATGACATCRGAACAGGACGTATTAAATAACCTGTGCCATAAGATATTAGGAACTATGAATTCCTGAAAACTTACTTTCAGTATGTACGTGTCCTTGGTAGTGATTTCGTGTAGTTCGAAGTAATCGTCCCAGTCGCTTTCACAGCATACTACACACCGATCCAAGTACATGGGTTCCTGAAGCAAATATAATTACCGATTAAAATATATCATAATATATACAATTTATAATGTATCGAATTAGTATATTTATTTTATCAGTTTAATTTTTTTATACGTTTAGAATCGTATCGGAAATCATTTGAATCGGGATTTTCAAGATTTTTTTAAACGCTGTCAAAATCTTCTTCGCAGAATTTTCCATGGAACGCCATGACACTACGTATAAGCGCGTATATATAATATTCATACACGTGAGTCGGATCGGCGAAATTCTAGGGAGAAATCTTTCACTCTCTTTCTCGAGCACATATGGGGAGAACGGACTATAGATATAGAAGACGTGTTCGTCCACTGCACTACTGCACTATAGTGCATTAGTGCTAATCCGAAATCGTAAAGTTTTTAACATTTTTTTTGTTACTTACTCGTAGTAAACTTATCCTGCCGCTCTTCTCTTTAAGCAACACTAGTGACGCGTCTCTGATGCCGTTCTGTCTGGGGAACGTGATGTCGTCCGCGTCCGGGTTGTAATTGTCGTTGGGCTGAACACAAAAGAAACGTAACCACACATTAATCACGCTACCTCATATTTTATACCAAATGCGAGCGTGTACGTCCACGAAGAGCGCGGCCACAAGGTCTTAATCGTTTGTATGATTTATTATTATATTATACCACTACGGACTCACCTTTCCCAACGTCACGATGATCGCATTTATCGGCATCAGTTTGATGGTCCTGCCGCCCCGCCGCCAATTGTGGTCCGACGGTTGTGTATACAGAAGCCGACCCTCCATGGCGAACCGGATCTCTTCTCCGAGCCCCGACCATTCGAGCACGTCCACGGCCACCTGAAGCCCAATTAACGGAAATTCAAATAAAACATATCGGTTTACACGTGTGTTCGTTTTAAGTGATAAACAATAAACTTGAACGATTTATTCGTCTACGAGCCCTAACCGTTAAATATATATAATACTGCTATTATACCCATATCAGTTATTAGGCACTTCAAACATTGTCACCCTTACAATTGGCTGGGTTTTTGTTTTTAAATTAAAAAAATCACGTTATACCTACCCTGTTCGCCGAATACCACTCAATCATCATCCCATCATTCGTCTCGTTTATTGTTTACTTTACGATATACGCATGCGTATACGCATTACTCAACGATGTGCACTCTCGGCATCTATATCTACTACACTTTAAATATCACAAAGGAGCTAGATAAAGGCGATAGGCACTTCTACTAGGTTTCCGTAAACGAATTAAAATTTTTGTAGGTACCTTCGTTTCTAAATAATATATTACTCATCGAAATTAGTCTCTGTACGCTTATAATACGCGCGYATAATATGTAATGATAATATAATTATTATTCCGTCGTAAATATAAGTACATCTTTCGTAATCAAGACACGTCGTCTTCATCAAAGCACATTATACCGTTGGAATATAATATGTATTAGGTACTCAATGTAGCCGAATATAATTTCGTGATAAAAAACAATAATTGAAAACCCGAAATGTGCGACACATCCGTTTGTATAAGGTTAACCTAACCTAATAATTTTCAGTGTCCAATTTGTGCTGTCACTCCCTCCAAATTTCCCCTCTCGGTATAGATGTATCTCTTTTTCTATTCGTCCTTGGTTTTTGGTGTGGGTGGGAAGCTCTACCTTACCGGATGTATGCGCGATTGTCATCTTGTTCACCCACGCCTGCTTGATAAAAAAAAAATACTGTTTCGATCACCTATTAGTTCTTTTCACTTATCACTTATGACTCTGCTTTTCTGCACTTTTTAAGACGGTGAAACTGAACGAGAAATTTTCAACGTTACATCCGACGAGATGACTCTCTCTCCTACGCTTTAAAATTGTCCTCTTCATGGCCTTTCTCACTCTCTACATTTTCGAAAATTGGAAAATATTTTTTCCACTATCTACCTAATGTGACGTTTTTTTAAACGTGATTTATTTTAATTGTCACGCTTAAGGACGGGTTGAAAGTGATGAAAAATAGCCAAATTACAAAATAGTTATATTAAAAAATAAAATGTATTTTAAATTTCAACCAGCATGCACTATATTATATTGTCATAGTGCATAATTTTACTATTTTTATATTGTCCATATCAACAAAAAGTACGGGAGATGATGATCAATCACATAACAAATAAATCAACTGATATTAATGAGTAGGCCAGCTTTTTAAAAAATTATAATTTACGAGTACTTATACTCAGTATAAATAATAACAGATGGCACTACGGAAGTAGCTAATATTATTACCTTGCGAAATTTGATGTCGGCCAAGTCCTCGTTGTCAGGCCTCTTACCGTTGATGGCGTATATTTTTCGCCATAGTTTTGTGGAACTAATGTCTTTGGCCAACTGTGGACAAAACGGGAATTTCGTACGTGCAATAATGGTTGCGCAAAGAAAAAATATGAGTAAAACAAATATTATTCGTGTAGAAGGCACTCACTGAGTTTATGTGTTCCAGGTGCAATTGTATCTTGTGCCTCGCTTCGTTAAGCGTCTGCCGAGCTTCCAGATGGTGTTCAGGCGTGACTTTGTACAAGCGGGCCAACAGCAGCGGATACTTGGTCACGCGTTGAACGGGCACCTGCGGTGTGACAGACGGAAATAAAAAAAAAATAAAAAAAACTATTACAACCGTAATACGATTTTAGATGATGATAACAATAATAATAATAATAATAATAATAATAATAATATAATCTAAGACGCGACAAAACGCTGAGCGCCGTCGACGCACGACTTCCCTTCGTCTGTACAGTGCGCGACACGGTCATCTGCGCGCGCGCTTTTAAATCGTCACCGATGTTCCGCAGCCATATCGATATATTATATGAATTTAGGGCTCAGGTTTTAAAGCAAATAGGTACTTCTTTTTTATATATGAGGTAGAAATTTAATTGTTATACATAAATTCGTTTCACGTCATTCTGATTCCAAATAAACCAATTTATTTTTGTTGTTTTTTGTGTAAATGCTTTTTTTAGCTGTGGAATTCGGATATTTTAATTATGTTTTAGTAATAAAAACAATTTAATTAATATGAAACTCGAAATACGTAGTACGGACTAAATGGTTATATTGTAGGTTTTCTATGTATAAAACATTCTGTCAGATAATAGAGTCAATTTCACTTGGCACCTACTGAAAATTTTGCTGAACACATGGTAGTGAATTTTTTTTTTTATTCAGTTTTATAAATAATTTATGTTAATTGTTGGACATGCATTTTTTACTTAAATATGCATATTTGTTTTTTTAAAACAATTTTGTGATTTTTTTAAATTTATGATTCTTTAAAATTCGAGCCTTATACGTGATAATATAGCCGATAATATTATAAGCTCACCATTAAGAAACTGTTGAGGTTCATCCGGCGTAGCACAGCGTTCTCCATCTGCGACACCCTCAAAAATATGCGCAGCAGCTCTTTCTCCTTCTCCAGGTTGGCGAGCAACAATGCAGCGTTACCCTGTGAAACGAAAATGTCGTTACGTGATAGGTGAACATGAAAGTACATAAAAACTAGTGGATATCATCAAACTACCGCACGACAGAACTTTCACACTGTATCTATAATACATTTTACACGCATGATTGAACACGAAGAGCCGACGATAGCTATGGGTAGGCACTATCGCGATGATGGTATAAGTACAGTATAAATATATAGCATCACTGTGTAAATGTACTCGTATAACTTTATTGCACTACTGGATTATTTATTACTCACTAATACTCAGTACCACTCGCTGCGAATATGTTTTCAATGGAGTATTCTTCTTCTAAAATTGTATATAATATGGCGCAACTACTGCCGCAATGTTCAGTTATTATGCCGTACATTTTTCAAAACTTAAAATGAATAACTTTTGCTATTGTCGATGCTATCTTGAATGATTTATTAATCGAATTTAAACGGAATCAAATTAATTAAATAAACCAAACGATATTGGTGCGTTGTGATTTTGTTCATGACTTTTGATGGGATTTAAATGTGACAATTTTTATCGTGGGATACGGGATAGACATCACTACTGAAGCTTTCGTGACAGTTATAGTTTTCAACTATTTTCATGGAGCGATCGATTTAATGTTAGACACCTAATCATCATTTTTTTTTTTGAAAAATAGGCTTTGTATATAGGACGTACCTGGCGGGTGCAGTACGATTGGAAGGCGTGCAGCATGGACGGTGACGCTTCCAGGAACAGCCGGCCGATGTTTACCGTGAGCAGGTCATCGTCGCCCTGTTCGATGGCTATCTCGTATGCGTCGCGCAGCTTTTGCGACAGGGCGGCGCTGTGCTCTTTCAGTTCGGACACGTTTAGGAACACGGTGGTCARCTGGTCGGCGTTCAGCAGACCGGCCACCATCATGGGCCGGTAAAACTCTTCGGTGATGATGTCTAGGTCTCTGCCGTACTTCTCCTCGGTCTCGACTATTTCGGCTATGATCTCCCGTCGCTCGGCCCTGCGTTTGTGACACTTGCGRCACACCAGCGGCGCGAACATGATGCCACTGTGAACGGTCGAAGAAAAAAAACGGTCGACATTTTAATATAATCGCATTTTATATTGATTTTTCTAGGTGAACGGTCACTTTGTACGGTCGAGTAAAAATTTTCGTTTCAAAATCGGACACTTGATACTATTACATACAAAAAGGTAAATATATAACTAGGTATGTATAAAATGTTACGAATTTTTATGAGATTTAAATAATTTAATCATTATTTTATATTAGACAGTTAATTCAAACGTTATAAATACTATAAAAATAATATAAACAAGTCAAAATAATCAGTTTTTTTAATCTACAGATTAGGTATATAACAATTAAACATGTTCTGTAGTTTATTTATAAATTATTATTGTATCACCAAATTAGATAATAATATGATTAATGGTATTTAAACTGAACAACATTTTCAATATAATTAGTCATATCTCAAACTTTATATAAGTTTATAGTACAATGGGTCCGCGTTCTGCAGCCTATCAAGTTTTACTCGACCGTATAAAATGATCTAGAAAGTCAGAACTATTGTTATTAGTTACTAATTAGGTTTTATCCCACTCGGCTCACTTAAAATTATTGTCGGGAGAATAGGGATTGACATAGGTATATTTCAATAGTTGGAAAAGAGCAGCTTTTGCTCCAATGTGGTATATTATTGTCGAAGTACGAATATTTGATCCATAATATTTTCTCTATGTAATATTTTTGATTGGGGTAGTATAGAATTTTTCTTATATTAAAGCCGAACTTAAATAGAGTATACCTACTTACACATTCTTATTTTTCAAATAAAACTGGATATAGCGTTGAAAAAATTTTTATTAGTAGGTATCACGCGTATTATTATACCAGTGTGATTATATTATAGAGTTATTGATCAAAGTTTACGAAGAGTTTTAGGAAATAATACATTATGTACAAACGATTTTTGTAGTTTTCTCTGTAATATGTCAGTAGAGACACAAAAATTTAAGCCACGTTTTTGATTCTTCAAGTAGTCTTTTTTTGTTTTAGAGTTATTTTAATAATTGAGCTGTATTTGTTTACATAAAAATATGGTAGGTATTTTATATTTTGTATTATAATAATATTATTGTTTCACATATTCATACGGTATTATACATATATAATATGAAGTTTCTATTATTTTAATGTCTCTCTCTKAGAAGGATGACCAAATATATTATATTTCTCCCCAGGATGGCTTTGATTTTTTATCCGGCTCTGCTATAATTATATCGAATTTAAAAACCTATTACGTATACAAATATTTTGTTATATTTTTCTAGATAAATAACAACCAACAAATTCGGAATTGACTTTCCACAYGACAAAAATATAAAAATAAATAAACATTGGATTCTATTATTACTGCTGTAGTTTGTGACCTAGCGCTATAATAATACATTTTTATAACGAATAAAAACGAATGATGCACAGGGGTGAGTTCATATTGTACTTTTTTTTTCAAATTTTACTAGGGACAGAAAAGGGTAATGTTCGAATTGCACTCAAGTTAAAAGTAATGCTCGAATCGCACTCGTTCCATTACATAAAACCTTTTTACTACCTAACGAACATTGYTAGACGGTCGGAAAAATTATTTATTCTTTTTAATATCTAATTTATATTGTATTGAGTGCAACATTACAATTGTGACAGTTGTAACGTAACATAAAACATAATAATAAAATAATATAACACAATAATAATATATTATACAATTACAGTTTAAAAATATGTAATATGAGCCTTTTAAATTGGTCACGTCGTTGTAATACTAAATCGATGAACAGGCTTATGCAATAACGTTGAATAAAATGAACATTCGTTCTAAGTTTTATGGGATAATCCGCCCGATGCCCCGATTAGATAATTCAGACATTAGTATTTAGGTGGTGTTCGGCAATCCCCCGCACAAGTCGTCATGCATTGCGCCGAGAGAAGTTAACAGTTTGGAATCAAAAAAGTCGGATTTTTTCTAAGACACCGTCTCTTCAGCCTCGAAAAACTATATCGGAAAACTGCGCTCTCGGATAATGTCGTTTTGTTTTTCACGAGGACGACAAGACGCTTTATCCTGCACAATGCAGTACAGTGCAGCAAGAAGCCGCGGGGCAGAGATTAACAACTATACGTGCGTCGAGCACGTAAATATTACTGACGAAAATAATGATGATGACACGTAGCTACAATAGTACCTTTACGGCCGAACGGATATTAAACGCGGCACGTGACCCGTTCGGTAATMTAATAATAATAATAGTAATAAAAAACACAATGGTGACGTACGGATAATAGACAAACAGAGACGTTTTATTTCGGGCGCGATTCGAGGGTTTACGRCCAAGCTGAGTGTGCGTTTTTAACTTCGTATCGACTTTACAATATACATCATACGCGTATATCAGTAACGACTTCAATACCTGCCCAGCTGGGTGATATGTACGTTGTACATAATATTATTATCACATCTTGTTATAGGCACTACACGTGCAGCACTTTCTCGAGTATATTGCGTGTGATGTAGACGAAATATATATTATAATATATTATTATAACATCAAAAACGTGACTCGACAAGAAATGCCGATCTCGGCGATCTCCCTATACCGTGGATGATCTATTACGACAATCGTACCTATAATATATATTATACTCATCGTTAGTGGAGGGTATACAGGTCTGGAAGTTATACTAAAAATATGCAGTTTTGTTGAGGATATTTACCGATCACCTCCCCCCACTCTATTCACTATCTCTAAACGACTCAACTATAGCTCATATTATAACTTATTATAAGTGTTATTAAACTGAACGGACACCTGCAACCCATWACCATTTATAGTATATAGWATAAGCCACTGACCATTATTTACGAATTTAGAACTCGCATGGCTATAAAACATTTATACTTCCTTCACTATTTTTTCACAAAAATAATAAAAAATAAGTCGTTTAATGAAAATCTCGCACTCACCCGTCCGTCGTCTGTATCTCGACGGGCTGGTCGCAGTCCTCGCAACTGTGCTGCGTCTCGTGCTGCTGTTGCTGTTGCTGTTGCTGCTGCCACTTGCTCCGCGAGCTCTGGCTGGTCTCCGAGCCCACACCCGAATCGTTGCGCTCGATTTCCACCGCCGCCCTCTTGGCAGCGTCGGCTGACTGCAGTATCGCGGCCACCGCGGCCGGGCCACAACTGCTGTATGTCGACGACTCTTCGCCCGAGTCGTTGCACGCGCCGCCGCTGCCGCCGCCACAAGAGTCAGATTCGGCGGCCGCCTGTTCGTCGGTGACGACCACAAACTTCGGGTGTAAGGTGGACGTGTCGTGCAGTGAACCACACCGGCGTTTCGCGTCCACCAGATAGTTGATGATGTCGTACTTGGTGGCACCCTCGAATATTGATCGGCACGGCAGTATGGCGGCAGCCTCGTGGTCGGCACGATCGGGCGGAGGGCACGAGGGTAGCGGCGGTGGGGTGGGCGATTCTGATATCTCCTCGTAGATGGGCTCGGCGTCGGCCGCTAATGTGGCCGCGGCCGACGACGAAGTGGACGAGAACGATGATGAAGACGCGGTCGACGCCGACGAGTAGGACGCGTCCTCTTTGGCCGAGGCGTAACACGACTCGGAACTGGACTCGGTGTCGGACGGCGGGTGTGCGGCCATGTGGTGTTTCTCAATTTCCGACACTCGGTAAGGGCTGACTAGTGGTGTGGTATCGCTGCCGCCAGACCTGCGGCCGCATACGTGTGGCGTCACGTCCAGGCGGGCCGCCTGTACCGGGTCGTAGTTCATCCGGATGAAATCGGACATCCGGCTTCCTGCTCGGTCCACCACCGTCACGTTGCTCTTGTAGTTCCCGCTCCTGCCCCCCCGGCCCGTGTTTCCGGTCGGCCCGATGCTGATGGTCACCTTGTTGTCGGACGACGCAGCGTASGCCGCACCCCCCTCACCGATGATCACCGACGTTTTCAGTCCTGGRCTCGAATTTATCAGTATGGACGTTTTCTGTTCCGGTTCGACTGGATATTCTGGGCACGTCCCGAGCTCATCGGAAGGCGAGACTTGCACCACTGTCCTGTTGTCGTTGTCATTGCGGTCGTCGTCATTGTACCGGCCACCACCGCTTGTTCCTCTTCCGCACAGAAACAATTCGGTGATCGTCGGGGTCGACGTCGACTGAGGTGGCGGCGGTGGAGGTGGTGGTGGTTCGGCTGGCCTGTCAAACGCCACCCGGCTGTCCGGTCTGCTCTTGTGCCGCACGTGGATTCGCATGGTGTCGTTGAAAACCGTCACGTCATCCGCCAATCCGTTGGAATTTCCGGAGTTTTGTCTGTCGCTTAGGCTTCTTTTCAGTTTCCGTTCGACGGCTGCCACGATCGCTTCCGGACCTAAAAATGACACRATTCGCATAAGTATCGTACAGTAGAACTGTATTCTTAACTGCGCGTACTTAAGTCAATGGAAATATATGAGCTGAGGGGGTTATGACTTATGAGGGGATTCACGTGACTTGGAAAGTCTGGTAGTTATTTATGCCACGTATTTTACGTAAATCGAAACTTTCACCAGCCGTGTGATGACAAAGAGGGTTTCTATTTCTGTCTCGTCATCGGACAATGTGTTCATATATAATGGTCGTTCAAAAACTATAATCGTTTTTACCTGCGCCTTGTGCAATATTTTCTATATTTTCGCTTATATTTGATTATTACGCGTTACACACGTGTAGGTATATAAAAATAATGATCACAATAACCGTACACGCGTGCCCTGCAAATCACYGTTGTTACTGTTTATGATGTTATAATTTGTACTAATTTAAATTTCGTGATTTGCGTGAATTGCCAAAGGACCTGCCACACCTACGATAATAGTATGTATGGTTGAACTGCCCTCCGAGCYCGCCATCACCGATACGTGACATATGCATATCATCGTCGAAGGAAAACCAGTTACGCGAATTTCTGAAACGTTATCATAACACGAACGTGTCCATTGGCATATCATCATCTGCAGTTACTTCTCCTTTTCTTTTCCACGGCTGACGAGTAGAACCGTTGTGGATCCCATTCATCACAGTCCTGTTCACAAAAAACCTGCTGGCACCGCCGGAAGAGCACCCACCTATTCCATTTGCGTGAGACTACAGAAATCAATTTTCGTATCATCAAAGCTCGAGGAAATTCATCATTTATGCGCACACAAAATTAATATGAACCAAAGTGCTTATAAAAGATTCTATAAATATCTACGGCAGGTGTGTACCCGATAGYCTTTCGTGATAGTGGACGCGTTATGATAATTTTTGGGGAAATATCCGAAATAACTTAATGATGAACGACATTAACGGAAACTAAACGTTATTGTCTGCGTTTACCTATTTTAGATGAGAAACGATCGGAGGAGCAGCTTGGGAAAAACGGTTAG